GAAAGACAGCATATTTATTTAAATTTAAATAGACAGATAGTAAATAAGATTCTTTTGAATCTGAATGCAAAGAAAGTTAAATTTGAATTGATTGATTAATTAATTAGGAAAGTTAATCAACACATAAATGTTCCAATTCAAATGGGGGGCTCAATGAGCGAGGCGAATTGTTCTAAATAATGAGAAAGAGTTTTTTGAAATTTGAGTTCACAACAAAATAACAGAAAAAATAAAAACGTGTTTGTTACTAGAAATAAGACTAAAAAATCTAGGTTCGAACCCATAATCATAATTACCGAGTTGTTGGATCAAAATTTAACTTTCGTAATTACCTTAGGGATAATGTTTAACTATGAATCGACTTAGACATTGACTAAACAAATGTCAATTGTGTTGCCTTAAGGTAAAATTAATTATCTAATATTTTATAATTTATTTTATATCTCAATTGTTTGGAAGCAATACATACATTTTTTATTTTTTTATTTTTCTATTAGTGCTAGCAGTTGCTATGCTAAAATATATAATAAGAAAGTATAGATTCTTCTCTAATGGCTCAGGTATTGTAACGACCCGACTTGTCGTTTCAAGAATTAACATCTCGTTCAACGGCTTAAGACCTCGAGAAGCTTCGTAATACGCATTATGACCCGCATGTATGGTCAAGTTTGGTTTTTCGTAAGATTCAGAGTTAAAATTTAAAGAAAATCAAAATCTTATTTTTGAAGCAAATGGAAAGAGTTGACCGAAGAGTTGACTTTTGAGCAAAAGACCCCAAATTAGAATTTTAATGATGTCAATAGCTTCGTATGATGATTTCGGACTTAGATGTGTATTCGAATTTGGATTTGGAAGTCCACAGGACAATTCGATGCATTTTGGCGAAATAAGAAAGTTGACGTGTTCTAATTATATTATTTTATATGTGGAAGAGGTCTATTACCATTATGAATACCAATTGGAAGTGATAGCAAGTGTACGAGGCGTACTATAAAATATATGGGGTCTAAGGAAAGTTCTAAGTCTAAGACAAGTTGGAAAATTACATAATAGACTAAAGTTGCAAATGAGTACACGCAAGACCTCACTTTGGACGAGCATATCTGCATATATATAATGAGTTGTGTGATGCACAACCTATTAAATTAAAGCACTCTGACTCTAGTTTTCGGAACATCAAACTGTTTGTCATTTGAAGGTGTATACAGAAAGTTATGACCATTTTACCGGACATGTGTTATAAGCGCGCTCAGGCGTGCGGCCGCGCTGAAACCACGGCAATTCAAGAGTTTTCTGCCTGTGAGCGCGGCGGAATGCGGCAGGAGCGCGGTGGAGAACATAAAATCCCTAAAATACCCCTAGGCAGTGTAAAAACTGAAGGGGTCCGAGATTTCCTCCATTTTTGGTCATTCAAGCATGGATTTGGGCGATTCCAAAGGGGTTTTTCACGATTTCGACTTGGATTTGAGAATTTTGGGCACGAATTCGCGAGGCAAAGGCTTGTTAGAATTTTGAATTGGTTGCAAAGCGAGGTAAGTGTTGGTCTAACCTTAGCTTGAGGGATTAGGAGTTGTATCCTATTTGTTATGTATTATTTGTTGAGTACGACGTATAGGCATGGTGACGAGTATCTATACGTTGGTGTCAAGCATGCCCGTGAGTCTTATACTTTGATTAATGTGACTTCGTTTCGTATTGTATATGCTCTATATGATAATTTCTATTGAGGAATATGACTTGTGGGAGTATTATTGTTAATTGAACATGATAAAGCATTGGCTCAAGTTGAGAATTGAATTGTTGAACATTGTAAAGCATTGGCTCTAGTCAACAATAGAATTGTTGAACATTATAGAGCATTGGCTCAAGTTGTGAATTGAGGTTGTGGAGTAAACGTGAAAGAAGAAAGGAAAGAGAGAATCATGATATTGTCTTCCCTGCCGGGATGTTATTGTTTTGATATTGTTTCCCTCCCTTGCCGGGGTTTGACTGCTTATGATATTGTTTCCCTTGTCGGGATTCTTTCGTGATTGGTGTTGATTTGTATGTGATTTGGATCAGGTTGCATACCGCAATAATATTATATAGATCGGGTTATACGCCACAATAATATTATATGAATCGGGTTGCACGCCGCAACAATATTATATGGATCGGGTTGCATGCTGCAACAATATTATATGGATCGGGTTGCACGCCGCAACATCATTATATGATTTGGATCGGGTTGCACGCCGCAACAATATAATATGTTTTGGATCGGGTTGCACGCTGCAACAGTAAAATATGATTGGGATCGGGTTGCACGCCGCAACAGTAATATATGATTGGGGTCGGGTTGCACGCCGCAACAAGAAAGAATAAAAGGGAATATTGATTCTTATGGTGAGCACGAGAGTAAAAGCACGAAGGGTGATGTCGTGCACTTTCTGCTGCTGTGTTTATTTGTTGTTATCAATTCAAGTGTTTTTAATGGTTCAGAATATTTTTACTGTTGTGATCCTTTGTGTTGAAACTCGTATTGTTTTCAATACCTCGCCGTATTTATATAAAGCTTTCAATACTTAATTTTTCAACAATTGTTATAACTCTAATTCAATTGGCTTCTCAATTAAATCTCCTTAGAATGTCTGAGGTCGTATTTTTACTTAAAAACGGAATTTCCACTAAGTTAATTTATTAAATTCCTTGTTAAAGGTAATATTTCATTTGATGTTGTACCTTAATTGAAAATGGTACTTTCTCTATTTAAATGATTTCAAAAAAATAACTTCATATCTTTTCTTGTTGATTTCCTAAATGGGTTAGAAGTTGTACTCTACTTTATATTAAGTAAATGAGTCACCTTGAACATTCTTAATTGTATTGGGTTATGGACCCTATGAACTGAGTAACATGAGAACGTTGTTGCGCAATGTGAGAGGGAAACATGTGGGCACCAGGTGCCGGGAAAAAATATGATGATTTTATTTAATGGCACGGGAGTTGCCTATGCAGTTGTGATAGAAATATGGGCACGAGATGCCGTGAAAATATGAAAGTGGGCTGAGACCTATATTATTTAAGATTATGAAATGAGGCGTCATAATGTGACCTTTACTTGAAAGAATTATATTCAAAAGATGCTTATTTGAAAGATATTTATTTGAAGGAAATATATTCGAAATATATTTATTGAAAAGCATATTATCTTAGAGATTATTACTTGAAGGATTTATAGGCGAAAGATTTATATTTGAAGGACTTCATTAATTGATTGCACTTGTATTTATTATTTATTGAGAAACAATTATGATGTTCTTGTTGCCTGCTTTTTATATCACTGGTTGTTTATTGTTGTCATCTTTGTTCCCTGCTCCCTATTATTTTTGTATGCAATATTGCACAGGTTGATTTGGTAGTCTGGTCCTAGCCTCGTCACTACTTCGCCGAGGTTAGGCTAGACACTTACCAGCACATGGGGTCGGTTGTGCTGATACTACACTCTGCACTTTTTTGTGCAGATCCCAATGCTGTAGACTTCGGACCGCAGTGGGATTGTTGTTTCCTGTTCATCAGGCGACCCGAGGTAGTCCTGCAGGCGTCCGCAGGCCTTTGCGTCTCCTTCTATCTGCTATTCCTGTTTTCTTCATGTATTTCCAGAGACAATGTTGTATTTATTTCTTTCAGAGCTTTATTGGTAGTACTTCTAGATAGTCTGTGAAGTTGTGACACCAGTCTTGGGTAGATTTGTTATGGATTGATATTAGCAGTATTATTAAAACTTTACAATGCAACCTTCCGCTTATCCAGTACTGTTGTTATTTAATTGCTGGCTCTTAACTATTATCGGAAAAAAATAACGGAAACAAGGTAAATAGTTCAGTTGGTTGGCTTGCCTAGCTTTCACTAGTAGGCGCCATTACGACTCCCGATGGGGGAAATTTGGGTCGTGACAGGCATGGATAATGACTTTTTAGTGCGTTGTTGATATTTATGTTCTCTCAAATTGTGTGTGTGTCAATTAGAATGAAATAAATTTGGATAGGGTAAACACATAGATGAATATAATTGCACTATTTGGGATTGCTATTTACACAAAATAAAGTGAATCATAAAATCATAAGGTAAGATTCATTTAATTAAGAATTACATGTAAGAACTCATCTTCTTTTAGTACATGTGCATCATGGAAGAAAAATATTTAAAGTAGGTTAACATTTATTTAATTATAATATATTAATCTTAATAATATCCCAAAGGTATCATTTAAATTGTTATAAACAATGTGACTTTAATTGTGTGGTTAAAATAGAGGTAACTAGCAAAATTATTGAGCAAATTACGATCCAACTGTTTTATAAGGTGGTAACTCCCAAAAGTTAGAATATATTGGTTGTAATAAATTATCATGTATGTATATATTAATTTGTCACCATGTAATTTTAGGTTGGTAGAAGTTGATGTTGATGTGAGAATTTATTATGTTGAGATAATAATATAATATATTTTTATAATTTAAATTAAGATATTACTATATATATTTTTATTTATTATTACTCTATATAGTATGATTTCACTCAGTTTTAATATGAATGAGATAATTTGACTTGACCCGAAATTTAAGAACGAAAAAGAAAATTTTAAAACTTATCCTAATAGTTTTATGGGACCATGATATTTTTATGGGTGTAAGAACTTCTCATTATATGTAAAATGGGTAAAATAAAAAATTTGAAGTTAAATTATTTCCAAATACAGAAATGTGTCATTCTTTTAGAACAGACTAATATTTATGTAAATTGAAAGGGAAGAAGTATTTTTTTTGAATCATATTATATTTTTATTTGTTTATATCACCGGCTATATATGAAGTAATAATATTTAATATTATATCAATAGTTATTCATATAATTTTATTTTTTTAATTTATAGAATTTAGCAGTATCATAATATTATCCCACATCGTGGCTATTAATAGTAGTTTACACTAATGTTTAAATTGTTATTTACCGTGAAAAACGTAATAACCCGATTCAATTACATGCTCTACAACAAAAATATTCCGTTTTGAGGTACTTTCAGTCCTTATTATAGTAGCAGTAGCAGATAGAAATCACTTGTCCACCAAGTAAACTTGAATTCCTTTCACCCTTAGCAAACCCATTCTGCACATTAATCTTTCGATCGGTTAACAATGGTTCTCGAGGTTAGTGTCTTAGCTTTTTTATATTTTTTGTCAATATTCAGTTCTAATCTGTAAATTGTTTGTTGCAATTAGGGTTTCTTCCGGTTTTTTATTGTAATTATTTGTGTCAGGCAACAATGATCTGTATCGACAATTCTGAGTGGATGCGGAATGGAGATTATCCGCGCAATCGATTCGAAGCTCAAACTGACGCAGTTAGCTTATTTTGTGGTTCCAAAACCCAGGTAATATAGCGCAGGGTTTAATGAAGAAAGGTAAAAATTTAGAAAATATTAAAAAATATGTATGTAATTCAAAAATAATTATTAGAAATCAAATAACAATTATAAGGAAATGATCTAATACAAGTATTACTAACATCTTGTTTGGATGGTTGTTACCCATTGTATTGTATCGTATCGTTAAATTGTAACGACCGATTTGGTGTGGTCGCGTCGTTGCCTAGTCTTTTTCTCTCAATCTCACCCTTCATTATTATATTATTAAATAATTTTATTTTATCATTTACCCTACCTTTTTATATAATAATTTTACCCTGTATCATAATTTTTCTTTATAATATTGCAAGTTTATTCTTCATATTGCTGGTGTGTGATATCATGAAACGATGGCAAACGACACAATCTATCCAAACATTGTATTTATCAAATGATACAGTACAATACAATACAGTACGATACATTATAAAACAATACGTAACAACCATCCAAACAAGCCGTAACTGAAATAGTTGCTTCCATCATTCCAATTTATGTGATGATATTTGATTGAGTACAAAGTTTAAGAATGAAATACAAAATATATGAAACTTGTGGTCTAAGACGAGGCTTTGATATTTGTGTGCAAAGGTGGATCCATGATTTGAAGTTTATGCGTTATAAACTTGCCACTAAGCCCATACTCATCTTAATTACTGGGTTCGCAATTAAATATATTCTAATACAAATACATGGTTTAAGCAAAAGCTACTTAGTTCGTCCGAGTCCGCACCTACTGCTCTAGCTGCGCTTCTGTTTATGTGGCTATAAATCATCTCATCAAGGGTAAAATGTAAAGTTTAAAGTTGAATTATTTTTAATATCAGAAATGTGTCATTCTTTTCGGGACAAAATAAAAAGAAAATACCTTCACATAAATTAGGAAAGAGGGAGTATTGTTTAGGGTCATCATTTTCAAGAGGGAGTCTCATGGGTGATAAGACACCCGCCACAGATCCTTGATTGCCTGCACTTAAAGTCAGCATGTTACACCTATCTTCAAGACTTAAGTCAGCCTCATATGAGCTATTGACAACACTGCTATGTGTATAGTCTGGTGATTCTAAAATATATACTTATACTAAGTATGTTCAATTATCACAAAAGAGTAGTGGCTGTAATGGTACTATGCACGTACTGATTAGGAGTTTTACTCTTTTAGGATCTCCGTGAATAGATGACTCGATGTCAATGGATTTCAGCGACTTATTTACCTTTTAGTAAGCACCAAGTTTGTACTCTTGACTGTTCCATTATTTGATTTGTGTTAATTGGTTTGCAGTCTAATCCCGAGAATACAGTTGGAGTATTGACCATGGCTGGCAAAGGAGTTCGTGTATTGGTTACTCCTACCAGCGACCTAGGAAAAATGTTAGCTTGCACGCACGGTAAGCTTCCCTAGTTGGCTGTGCTTTTCTTCGTAGTAATTCATTACTGGTAGAGGCCACTACAAACACCTTCTATAGGTTTTGCAGCTTTCTGTGTTGACGCTAAATTTAATGGACACTAGGTTTACTAAAACAACTTGAAATTTTGATGCCGAAAACAAGTATGGTTTGACTGGTTGCGCTTCTATTCTAGTACCACTTGTATAAGATCTTGTCAAAGTCTTTTCCGGAATTTTCGCGATATTACTCATTTGTTGGTGTTCATTTGAGTGTGCCTAGCCACTTGTTTCTTCCTGTCCAAGCTGTTCCTTTTTACCAGTTGTGTGGACAGTTTTTTCTCTAATGGAAGATTTACATACGAGGGCTATCAATATCCCCTATATCACTAGGTCATTTTGTAACGAACCTACTTATACCCTTCATAAATTTTAAATATTATCTCAAAACTTGCCTGGCTTCCTAAAATTCAAACATATGGGCATTACCATAGAGAGGACAATAACTATCTAAAATTAAAGACATAATGCCATTGTAATATTGTACTCCCGTGATTCAATTTAATATATCACTCTTTCCTTTTAATCTATTCAAAAATATAAAGAGGCACCTTTTATATTTAAAAACTTTTTAACTTTAAGCTTCCAATTGTATCTTCAATGGCATACTTTATAGCCATAAAAATGCCATGGCATATTTAACACCACAGGTTCTAGAGTACTTATGATATATGCCAAAAGTTTTTCTTTTCTCTTAACACTGTGCCGACGAAATACTGCCTTATAAATGAAATGGAGGTAGTATTATGTAAATGTAAGTTCTACTGCTTTACAGTTGAAGAGATTGAAGTCAAATTATTTTTTTACAAAAGAAATTAGGCGGCGTGTGATGTGTGGGTTAGGCGTACGTCGTGGGCTCGAATCGTGCCATAGACAAAAGCCTTGTATTTAAATGGAGAAGGACAAAGGAGTGGGCCCATTATCCATGGAGTTTCGAACCGTGCGCTACTACCCTCGAGGATTTCTTGTTTAACAAAAAACTGAAAATTTCCCCCTTTTAAAATAAAATGTACTGTAATAAAAGATGTTCTGTTCCTACACTTTGTCTGATAGCATTTTCAGTCCTTTATTTGGCATAGACAGAGGAGGAGGGTTTTTAGTCCCCAGTTGAGTGAATAAAATTTTTGGATTTGTTAGGAGGGCTGTAGGGGTTGATGACTGTTTCTGGGATGCTTTTTGTACCACCTTGGTACCGGATGAATAAAATTTACCTTATCAAAAAAGAAAAAAAAAATCCCAGTCGAATGAGAGAAAAGAAACAAAGTGAATAAGGATGAGTTTCTTAGGAAGAAATGAGGTGGTGTAGTATAAAAACCTACAGACGTCATATCTGTAAAAACATACTAGTACATCAAATTAGGAGAGCGAAAAAGCGGTGATGAGTAAGAGACCAAATTTGTAACTGAAAGGACAGGCAATGCCTAAAGGATTCGGAATAAAATTGAGGATCTCTGTCTGAACTTCTGCACAGATAGTCACTAAGATCCTCAATTTGGCTTTTCTCGATTCTTAAACACTCATTTCTGCTGTATTCATTTACTTGCAAGCACGATAGAACAGCCATCACCTCCCTAGTACTTTAATTTTATTCAATTGAAGAAGAACGCTGCAGAAAGATTATCTCAAAGCTGGTGTATACTTGACTATAATGTCTATGTATGGTACTCACATCCTTACCATCTTAAGATGTTTCCTTAACTACACATTGTCTAATACACTCCTTTTAATAACTTCATTTCAATTTCTTATGTGACCAGCCTTTTTCTTTCCCCTTTCAGGATTAGATATCGGTGGTGAATTGAATTTGGCTGCTGGAATCCAGGTGGCACAGTTGGCTCTGAAGCATCGGCAAAACAAAAAGCAACAGCAGAGGATCATTGTTTTTGCTGGCAGGTGATGGCTATTTCCTGTATAGTCTTTGCTGCTGTAACTGTTGATTTTTTTCCTTTCTACATTAACCTTTACTATTTGTTCAGTCCTGTTAAACAGGACAAGAAGGTCTTGGAGATGATTGGAAGAAAGTTGAAGAAGAATAGTGTAGCTCTTGATGTTATTAGTTTTGGTGAAGAAGATGAGGGGAAGACTGAGAAGCTTGAGGCATTAGTTGCTGCAGTAAACAACAATGATAGCAGTCGCATCATCCATATTCCTCCTGGACCTACTGCTCTTTCTGATGTGCTAATAAGGTACTAGTGATATTTTACCACCTTTTATTTTAATGTCAGATAACTTTCATAATACATGATGTTATTCATCTGAAATTCGCAGTACTCCTATCTTTACTGGAGATGGTGAGGGTGGAAGTGGATTTGCTGCAGCCGCTGCTGCGGCTGCTGCTGGTGGAGGGTCTGGCTATGATTTTGGTGTAGATCCTAATTTGGATCCTGAACTTGCTCTGGCACTTCGAGTTTCAATGGAGGAGGAACGGGCTAGGCAAGAAGCAGCAGCAAAGAAAGCTGCAGAAGAATCTGCACAAGAAAAAGGAGAAATGCAGTCAACTTCTCAGGATATTACAATGACTGAAAATGTCGGTGCCAGAACATCTGAAACTGAAAACAAGGCAGTTGACCTAATGGTTGGTATCTTACTATTTTGAAAAAATCCTATGACCTTTTGAATTAAAAACATTAGAGAAGAAAATAATAAACTGGTATACTTTTGAATGTTAATTATTTGTTTTACCATTTTATTGTTGGGGAGGAGAGTGGGGGTTCCAATTATGGGAACATGACATATTTATGTTTAAATAATGATAAGCCCATTGCGGACAATCATTAATCGCGGTCAAGCTTGCTCGGGCTATTGGAGCTTGGGACTAGGTAAGGGGATTTGAGTCTCTGTTACGGATCTTACACGCGACCAAGTATGACATTTTATACGTGACCAAATATGATGGAAAGGCCAAACCTTACGCATGAGGTGTTAAGTGCCACATTGTTCTAGTGCCTATTGATTGCCCAAATTTCGGAGAGTTGCATTTATCTATGTCATTTCCTTTTTCTTTCTACTTCATTTTTTTTGGGTGGGGAGGGATGTATTTGTTATTGGACATCTGAAGCCTGAACAATATAAGATGGGGCCCGAACATTGGGTAAACCAAGGATAAAGTTGCGTCTTATTCTGAAACCATGTGAATAAAGATGGATCTTGGACCTAACTCCCCCCAAAAGTTAACTCACGAGGTGATGGTTACCCAAGGCCATATGAAGAGACAATATCCAATACCCTCAACCAATGTGGGACTGTAACACTAAGCATACTTAAATACTTCAGCCAACTTAAGATGTCTTCCAGCATCTTATTTTATCTTCCCATGCCTAGCAGAGAAACTTGTGGAGATGGAAATTTTCTTCAAGAAAATGAGTTCAAGCTTGAAGCTTTTTGTAATGCCTGGCCTTTTGTTGCTCAATAATGACATTAACTCCTGAACTATAAATTGATCCCTTACAGGATGATGAGAATGCACTGTTACAGCAAGCACTTGCAATGTCGATGGATGATTCTTCCTCTAACATTACTACAAGAGACACGGACATGTCAGAAGCAGCTTCTGAAGATCAAGACTTAGCACTAGGTTGGTTACTATATTTGCAGGCCAAGTTCTTTGTTTGGCTTATATCGTTAGCTCATAGAAATATTCTTCAAAATTTTAGCAAGTCTACCTAACCTCATCAGTTCATGTACATTATTTCAAGTTCTTTTTACTTGCCTTTTCAATTGATTTCAGTACTGGTAAATTTTACCACCTGCTTTACATACATTGTGTAATATTACCTGTCTCACACTTGATTCAATGCTTGTTCTTTGATACGATTGATTGTTTTCCATTAATGCATCTAATGTATTTTGGAAACATGTGTTGGAACTTTGAAGAATGAAGGATCTACGTGAAAAATAGTCTCTCTGTCCCAATTTATGTGAGAATGTTTGATTGCGCAAAGAGTTTAAGAAAGAAAGACTTTTCAAACTTGTAGTTAAAACAAGGCATAGACATTTGTGGCTACAAATTGCCTCATTATGGGGTAAAATGGGAAGTTTAAAGTTACATTATTTCTAATTATATAAAAGTATCATTCTTTGGGACAAATTAAAAAGCAAAGAGTGTCACATATAGTGGGACAGAGAGTCTCATTATTTGTTTATTTATGAATAAGGTGAAGTCTATGGGAAGTATATCTATCTTGTTCACTATCATCTTTTTNACATGGAAAAAGGAGGTTTCTGTAACTACCCTTTCATTTTTTAATAGTTTGCATAATGTCTTTGAAATAACATGATGATGACTGATGAGAGCTCCATTTCAAAAAAAGTAGTAGATGAGAGTTGGCATTCTTTAAATGTAAAATATTTTTGAATAACTGCCTCTCAACCACACTTCCCATCCTTCTTATCATCCCAAAATGATCTATAAATGACAAAAGGTGTAGTATAATACACTGTTAGTTACCTGTTAGATGACTTTGGTTAGTCCTATGAAAATTTTTGAATGCCTCAACAGCTGCAGCTGTGCATATTCCTTCGTACTACGTTAGACATTTGTGTAAAGGTGCTTAGTTATGCTTTCTTAGACATTCATGTAAAGGTGCGTAGTTATGCTTTCTTGATATGTATTGTCGCTTCTTGTGCTTGCAGCTCTTCAATTGTCAGTGCAGGACAATACAAAAGATGATTCAGACCAGACAGATGTGACTAAACTGTTGGCGGACCAATCATTCGTGTCATCAATTCTTGCTTCAGTAAGTTTTTTATGCCGAGTAAAAGATGACCCTCTCATTAGTATCATCAGAAAGTATCTGTTATGGATCAAACTTCTATCTCCTTTGATTTTCATTTGGTATGTTTACTTTCCCAGCTTCCAGGTGTTGATCCAAATGATCCTTCAGTTAAAGATTTACTTGCTTCCATGCAAGGCCAGTCTGAGGTGAGTTAATTTGGTTGATAAGATTATGTTAAAAAGCAGGCTGGTAAATTTTTAGTGTAGTGCGATATCTATTTCTAATTTTTGTGTCTTTAACATGTTAGATGGTCATTTTGTTTGTAGATTTCTCATTTCTAACAATTTATCTGCTTTGTTTAATGGTGAGGATAAGTTGAATATTAGCTCTTTCAGATATCAAAACAACCATGCTTCTTGAATTTTAGAAATGTAGTATAACTTGAAAGTTCATTTAGGCACTATGGCACTCCTACTGCTTTGCATATAAAACTAGCTTCTAGTGTTTGTTTAAAAGGAAATTCAAGGGTCTTTTATTGTGCGTACTAATTGGCTGAAAGTGATGATGTATAACCGCCTTTCAAGTCAGGGTGCACCTGCTGTTTTAGTAGATACTTCGAGCATTATACTTTTATATCTTACAAAGTAAAATCTATGAAATAATTGTAGACAAAGCTGAGCTCATTCTTGAAGTGATAAAGTTTTGTACAAGGCCCTTGGGGGAAAATCTTTTTTAAAGAAACGAAAGGTGACCAATGAGGTGGAAGGCAACAAAAGGAAGATGAAGTTTGTGTTCTTCCTAGATTTAAGCTTCCAAAATTAACAGAGGAAAAAGCTGGGCAAAGGAAATAGAAATATTGGAAAGCTCTAATTTTGCAGTATCTGAATCATGTTATACTGATTTAGGTGCTGCCTTTCCTTCTCTTTGTGTCCTGTTCCTTAATACAATAGGCACTTAGCTTCTTGGATTGACACACACTTTAAATGATATGGACATTGGACATAACACGGCGTATGGATCAACTTTGACCCAAATATCATATTTTCTATTTGTGTGGACTCTCCTATCCCCAATATTGATTATTTTAGTTTTTTTTATTAGGATTCCATCTCATGTATGTCTATTTCATCACAGCAGAAGGATGAGGACAAGGAACAGAAAGAGGACAAAAAGTGATGATGCCTAAAACTGATGTACGTACGCCTCAGGTGTAACGTCTAAGCAGCCTTTTCACTATTGGCTTTGAATTCCCCCCCATAATTGTGCTCATGTTGATGAGACTATGTTTATTTGTAGGCCAAGAAGCTCAGATGGTAATCAAGATATGATGCAGATTGATGAAATTGATTCTAGAAATGGGGCTTACAGTATTTTTTGTGTGGAAAAGAACTTAAATACTTTGTTGCCCTCGGCCTTGCTTCTCAATTTGAATTATAGTTTATTGAGAAGACGGCAAACGCCCATCGTCCTACCTGTGTTTACTGTTTTCTCTATCCTGGAATGCAGGAAAGATGGTGCCTAATTAGCTCTACGTAGTCATCCACCAAACTAAAGGAAAAAATGAGAAAAATAGAAGCTCCTATTGGATAATGTGTTGCATGATTTTGTGTTTGGCTCAGCTTTGGTGTCATTCTTTTTGTTGATTCACCAGAAGTGTACATTTATAACTTGCTTGTATCTCCCTATACCATATGAGGAAAATCAGACGGGAAAGTTACTGGGAAAATGGTACTTATTCGTAAACTAAAGTCATAATTTTAAGAGGTTATAAACTAGTTATGCTTAAGTAGAGCCTGATTTAGTAAAGACGATCCCTTTTCAGTATGTCATATACGCTAATTTGACTATAATACCTACCAATCATCAGTGCAATCAGATTTCTATTCGCAATTTTTCCAACAAGTTTTCAAATTCTTAAGTTGAGGAGTAGTCTCCTCTGGAGTCCGGAGAGATTAGGATCCATATCCCGAGTAGCAAGTACATTGATTGAAATATTTCACCATTACAATAAGCAAATTATGATTGGTTTGCACGAAAAATATACGCATTCAAACATGCATATTCATTCATAGATAATAAACTTTTGCACAGTCAAATATTTACCTACTGACGTATTCAGACCCATTAAAAATGTGGAATTACAATCTTGATATAAAAAGACATACTAGTGAGAATGAGACCAAGATTTAATAATGCCATGATAACAATAGTAAGTACCAGCTCTTCAAGCTTAATGAAAGTCCTCGAATGAGTATCTCACTGACTTCTAAAGGCGTAATTATGTACCTCTCATGGAATGGACTCACTCTAGCATTAATTACGGTGTATTCGTTTTGTAAAAGAATTCGAGCATCCAACCCAAACCTTTAAGGCAATGAGTAGAGTGACCCACATTTGGAAGAGGGACAAATGTATTTCTCTAATACCCTCCCTTAGGTGTAACCCGGTTTTTGAGTTTACATGGGGAGAAATTCAAAAATAGCCAGATTTACAACTGGTCGTTCAAAAATAGCCCAGTTTCAAAAGTAATCGAAATTTAGTCACTTTTCATGTAAAGATAAATCTGAGCGGAAACACTGTTCAAAACCTGGAAAATATGTCAGTATATTATACTGGAGTTCCAGCAAGTATAATTGTCCAGTATAATATAGCACCGGTGCTCCAGTCTCAAGTATATTATACTGGAGTCAGGAAAGTATACCGGTCCAGCATAATATGCTGGAGTTCATACACAGGTGCACGGAACTCCAGTATATTATGCTGGACCGGTCTCTGCTGCAACAAAATAGTGGCTATTTTTTATTGACTTCGTAAACGCTGGCTATTTTTGAATGACCAGTTCGAAAACTGGCTATACCATGCTATTTTTACGTTTACATGTTGACCGAATACGACATTAGGCTCGACAGGCCGAATTAGGCCTAGAGTTGAATATGCTACTCCTAATTAAGAAGGAGTAGGTCTGGAGCGAAGCTTGTGGCTGGATAGGCTGAATTAAGAGAGAGAAGCGCATAGAGGCTTGATGGACCTAGTTTAGAGAGAAGCCCAGGGGGATAGAACAAGACGAGAATAAGTAGTTGTTCAAATGAGTTTACAAAAAATTGGCTCCGCAACAGGTGAAGTGGCCTATCTTTAGAGACCCTTACACAACCAATAAGGAACAAATCTCGTTTATATGCACAGGGCCAAGCTGACCTCTTTTTTTAAAATAATGATAATGCTATCACTAATTCAGAGTTCCTTTATCTCCCACACCTACTTGAGTGAAAATGCATCACATAGTAATGAGATTGAGAATTTTTTGTTAAGAGGCAAGGGATAGCAATTGTGCCTCCTAATTTCCCCTATAAAATGTAATATGTTGACTTGATCTCGTTATTTATGAAGAGCGCTTTGTGAGAGACTTAAAAGCTTACTTTTTATGCACTAAACTGTATACAAATTATTTACACGATTAGGTTAGTCTAATTGCAGGTAATTCTAAGAAATTTATTACATTAGCAATGTTTCTACAACTTAAATATGAGTGTGAGAATCAAAGATGTAGTAATTACTACAGTACATTTTGCAATTTTAATATGATCACTAAAATGTGCATAGATCGTTTTCAATTGAGGGAATGTTGTGCAAATCATGCAAAGTGTATAGTTCGGAAAACATTTTGAAATAAGACGCGAGTAACCATTTAACGAGCAACTTCAATGGAAATGTTAAGTCATTCGAAAAACACAAAAAAATGACCTTTTGTGGCCCATGCAGGTCTCGAACCTGCGACCTTCGCGTTATTAGCACGACGCTCTAACCAACTGAGCTAATGGGCCAGTTGTTCTCAGTACACTGATTTATAATTTTATCATTATCGAAGGTAATGGATTTTAACGTTGACGTAGATCGGAAGAAGCAGAAAGAGACCCAGATTTGAGCCATGAAAGATGATTACGAGGTAACAAAATTCTCTTTCCGTAATGCTCATCAACAGTTCAATCTAGTTATCATCTTTTGGGTCTTCTGATTACTACTTGCAACATTTTGCTATTAGCTTTTAACTATTGAGTATGAGTCAGGTTGAAGACGAAGCATGCTGCAGTTGTACAATTCATGGAGGCATTGTAGCTTTAAATAGTTTACTTCCATGGATGGATATATCATATATGTTGTTGTTAAGAGGGTTTTCAGAGTTAACGATATATCTTATGCTGATACTTTTGGGAGTTCGATACGATTCTACGGGATGTTACACATCGTATTGGGGCGGGGTGAATGAAAAATAGGCTCGCTCCAGGTGCTTTGCATGATAAGAATGTGCCACCAAAACTTAAAGTGAAGTTTTACTGAGCGGTGGTCAGATCTACTATATTGTATGAGGCGAAGCGTTGGCCAGTCAAGAACTCTCATGTCCAAAAGATGAACGTGGATGAAATTAGGATATTAAGATGGAAGTGCGGGCATACCAGGTTAGATAGAATTAGAGATGACGTTATTCCGGACAAGGTGGGCATATCCTATGGAGGACAAGATGTGAGAGGCGATACTTAGATGGTTCGGACATGTGAAGAGGAGAATCACAGATGCACCAGGTAGGAGATGTGAGTGGCTGGCCCTGGAGGGCCTAAGGAGAGGTAGATGCAGGCCGAAGAAGTATTGGGGAGAGGTAATCAGGTAAGATATGGCGTTGCTCCGGCTTACTGGACATGACCATGGATAGGAAGGTGTGGAGGTTGAAAATTAAGGTAGAGAGTTAGGATAGGTAGCCGAGCGTTGTCCTTGTCGGTATCAGTAGCTTTAGTACGTGATTTAGTGTTATTTGTGTATTCTCGTATCCCTAGACTTCTGTGATTGCTTGTTATTGCTTTCATGTTATACTAGTCGTGTTTTAAAGACATAAGTGTAGGGTTTAAAATGTTGAAATGTATGTATTAAAGTGCTTAGGGAGGTGTAGTCACTATTATATCTAAATGTATCTTACCCGTCCCACAGCCTATATTACAATCAGTTAAAGTCCTACTTGATCCTTGACTGAATGAGCTCAATTAGTAGAGTAGTACACTACGGGCAAGCCCATGGTTCATCTTTTGTGGCATATGAATGTTATTTCTGAGAGTGCGTAAATTCTTTCTATCTTGAGTTCCTAATTTTTCTTAAACTTTATTGTGTGCGGAACTACTCTTTTTTGTCGTGTGAGGGCACTTGATTCATGAAAGAAAGGTAATGTCATTGATCTCTATGTTAGAGTAAATGAGTGGGTTGTGAAAAATGCGTGGTACTTGTGAGTCAAATCTTGAGGCGAAGATGTTATACTATTGTGCTTAGTCTATTTTAAATATTTTTGGTACGAAGAGTTAGGAGAATTGTTTAAAAAGGCTGTGTCTATATAAAGTGTAGTTTGATTGCACGAGGACGAGCAACGGTTTCAAAAACTTGTTGCGGCCAAATGCACACGCAAGTATACGCGGTCGTCAAGTAATAAAGTGACTAAAAGTCGGATGTCGAACCTACGATGAATTGTCATTAACTATTAACTAAATTAGACTATCTTAACTATCTGAACAAGAATTAAAACTAGAAGTATTTGATTCTAAACTAGTTAAAATAAATAAAAATAAATAATGAACTTTGAACAGAGGAAGAGCAGATTTTTATATTATCAATATGATGAAAACGATCTAGGGTTATGGACTATCTAACATTCCTATTGTATTCTTCAATTGAAATGGCTAACTAATTTATCTAGCTTATTGGTTGACAAGATTAATATCGCTCATAAGAATCTGTCGAGTTCTTACTCGCCTATTCAAACTAACCTAATGACTATATGTCTATGGAATTAGAGTTACCAAGAACGCATTTATAATTCCTGTATATCAACCAAGCAAGACAATTAGGTATATGTCTATCCTAACTGCGAATCGGTTCCCCGATGCTCGGGTTCAAGAACTTGCCCTACTCAATCCTATATGCAATATAGAATTCCCACTTTCGAGTTCAATTCTAGATTCGTAGATAATATTCAATTGGTGATCAAGCAATCAAATAATTAAGTGCATGGTTGAATAAATAAACTAATACGATAAATCAAGAAAGCAAAATCAATATCTGAATAACAATAGTCATGAAATAACCACAACCCTACAACATGAAGTTTAGCTCCACATAGACGTGGTAGCCAAACAATAAATCATACAAAGACACATAAAAATTACAAAGTTTGATAGAAGAAAAAATGAAACCCGGCCTCCATGGCGACTTTGTGCTCTCCCTAGGTCAAAAGTTTGTCCAAAGTCCTCAAAATAACGTTTTTACAAGTATTTATACTAAGTAGGGTCGGGCCCAGACGAAAACAACTTCTCCCGTGAGAAATAGGACTATGGCTCTGGAAAATTTGCACAGGCGCGCCGCATGGGGCGATGCGCCACGCGGTGCGCTTGTGGGGAACTTCAGAGAGCATGCAATTTGAGGGAAACATCAATTTACACACCTGCGGCGCGCTACGTGGCACGACTATAGAAATTTGGAAAAAATGTAAAACATAAAAGTTGTAGCACTTTTAAATAGCTTTCCAATGATATATTATGGAGCCCAAACAGATTTCTGAGTGAAAAGTTATGTGCCTTTTACTGGATAATGTGCAGTATGCCTGCTCGATTCTTCGTTTCATTCTTAAAGTGCACTATCATCCGTTGATCCCCGAACACAATCCCAACTTAATCCTTGGGCTTTTACTCGGACTTCAAAACTACAGAATAACTTGAATTCATTCCATAATATCTACATAGATCGGAATCACTCCCACAAGGCATAAAATACATATTTAATGCAAAACACTAGCGATTAAAGCTCAAACTCAATTAAAGTACAGTAAACTAGAGTATAATAAACGACTAAAATAGATAATTATAGCCTATCATGAAAAGGTGGCTTAAAAGTTGCTCTAGGCAATTTGCTCAAATCTCATGTATGGCATTCTTGAACTTTTTAAATTCCTCCTATTAGAATTTTTAGCTCTAGGCTAAGATAACGCGATGACATAATTTCCCCATCTAAATTTACAATTTTCTCAGATTATTTTTTCCACTGCAACTTCAAATACTTTTTAAATTAAACTCAAATATTGTCCAAACAACAACTTATATCAAAGAGAACATTTATGAAAAGTAAATAATAAGTTATGGAAAAGTACAGAATCAGACAGGGGCAGAACAATAATGCAAATACTTTTGGGGGGGGGGGGGGGGGGGGATCAGCATAAACGTAAAGTTAGCAGGAAAAAATTATTAATACTACTATTTCTTCGTTGAAATTAAGAAGAGACAACGGCTAGTAAATCAAACGGTAACCTTCAACGGTCGAATTATTCAAAAAATACTCTCTCTAAAATCAAACCCTCTCTTCTCTTTTCCATCTTCAAATTCTCCCTCCATTTACTGTCTTCATATCTCAAAACTCCTTCCTTTCCACATAATCTCTGCAAATTCGTCAGCAAATTTTCAGGTACTCGTAGAAGCAAAGAGAAACGAATTTATTCTATACTCGATAAGTACCAATAATACGAGCTGAAGATGGTGCAAGAGATGTGGAATGGACCCCCTGGTTTCAGACCCTTCAGACCCACAAAATCGGCTCCATCTTCACCAGCTAAACCTCTTGGAATTTCCAAGATTCGTTCGGAATCCTTCCATATTATTCCCAAAGTACCTGTTGGTGACACCCCTTATGTCAGAGCCAAAAATGTCCAAGTAAGCTTCTTTTACAATCTTAAAAATTGTGAGAAAGAGTGAAAAAGTTTTAATTTTCAACTACATTTGGTAATCAACTTCTAGTTGAAGCAATTAGTATAGTCAATGGCAGATGCCAGAAAATCCAGGATTTAAATTTAATGGGTTCAATGTTTATGTTGATTTCTTCATATTGTCTTTAGCCAAGGGTCTATCGGAAACAAACTTTCTGCCCCACGGTAGGGTAGGGGTAAGGTCTGAGTACGCACTACCCTTCACTATGTTTGTTGTTGTTGGGTTCAATGTTTATATTCTCGCGGTTGAATCACTACTAAAATTATGGGTTTGCAACTTAGTATTTGTTGAAATTTAATGATATTTTACCTAGATATTTATGTTCCGAATAATCGGTTTAGTTGAACTCGTTGGAATGACATTGCATCCACCGGCTGTAGTATTTGGAGTAGCGGGTGTAGCTGCAACTACTTTATTCGACTCGAATTGCATATATGATGGAGCAAATTTTGTTTTCAAGAGTATCTTTTTATACTAACTTCGGTCCTATTGATGTAAAATCGTAGCGAATGCAATAGCATTAGTCTTGAATTTACCTAGAGTGTGGCTTCTATTTAGCAATACAAATATATGAAAAGCTCATTGGTAAAGCTCCATTTTTGAGACAAAATTTGTTAAAATTTTTGTTGTTTTTACTAGTTGATGTTTTCATTAATCGCTGAATTGTTTTATTGTATGATCTCAGTTGGTGGAAAAGGATCCAGAAAGGGCAATTCCATTGTTTTGGGCAGCAATAAATGCAGGAGATAGAGTGGATAGTGCACTCAAAGATATGGCTATTGTAATGAAGCAACAAAATAGAGCTGAAGAAGCCATTGAAGCAATTAAATCGTTGCGAAGTCGATGCTCGGACCAAGCACAAGAAGCTCTTGACAATATCCTACTAGACCTATACAAGGTCTAATATAATCCTCAAAGTTTACAAGAATATTTGCACTTAATTTCCTTTTATTCTATGTAAGGGTCTTACCTAGGAGTAAGTAAGGTCTACGTACACACTACCCTTTAGAGATTACACTAGTTTTGTTGTTGTTGTTGTTAACAAGCTATAATGTTGATATTCTATAGAGATGTGGGAGATTGAGTGACCAAACAACATTGTTGAGGCATAAGTTGTACTTGATTCAACAAGGCATGGCTTTTAATGGAAGGCGAACCAAGACGGCGAGATCACTGGGGAAAAAGTTTCAGGTTTCTGTGGAGCAAGAAGCAACTAGATTACTGGTAAATGATTGTACTTCTTCGGTTTCATTTTATATAATAGTGTTTGACATGTCACCAAGTTTAAGATATACTTTTGAAATGTACCAAAGTACACTTAGAACCTTAATGATGGATAAGCAAAAATAATTTGGGATAAAAATTTAGTACGATAGCAGTTCCATTCTTGCTCTTCCTATTCCATACCATAAACAAACACCTTTGATTCATCGACATTGGCGTTAGAGGCTCTACCCCCACCCACCAGCCCTTTATGGAGTTAGCGGACCAAGAGAAAAAATTCCCCGATTAATCCCAGGATAAGTTATCCCATGATAAAGCAGTAAAGTCGATAATTCCAAAATTAATAAAATAAACCAAACAGTCAATAAGAAATAATATCAGAATAACTAATCCCAGCATAACTTGTCTTCAAACCAAACGACCCCTAAATGTGAAAGGTGTTACTCCTATTATTTCTAGAATGGTCTAAAAAAGAAAAAAGTCGTCATAGATTACCGGTAAATGATACTTCTTTGATTTTTATTTTATATGACATTGCTTGACTTGCCACGGAGTTTAAGAATGACATTGACACAAAGCAAAATACTCTTAGAACCTTGAATGTGAAAGGTGTTTGTTACTCCTATTCTTTCTGGAACGGTCTAAAAGGAGAAGAAGAGTCATAGAAAAGGGAACGACGAGAGTATAGTTCTAATACTTTTGTAATGACGAGAGCATAATATAAATCATTTAACATCAAGAAGTTTTTTCTATCATTTCAGGGAAATTTAGGGTGGGCATTGATGCAACAAAACAACTACATTGAAGCTGAGGATGCTTATAGGAGAGCACTAGTGATTGCACCAGACAATAACAAGATGTGCAATTTAGGCATATGTTTGATGAAACAAGGAAGAGTTAAAGAGGCAAAAGATACACTTAAGAGGGTGAAACCAGCAGTTACAGACGGCCCGAGAGGCGTTGATTCGCACCTCAAGGCCTACGAGAGAGCACAACAAATGCTCCGCGACCTCGAATCAGTGCTATTGAATAATAAAGGTGGCACTATGCTTGAACAAAGCAGGCTTTTTGATGCATTCTTGGGCTCTTCTGCAATTTGGCAACCTCAACCTTGCAAAGAACAAAACACATTTACTAACACCAGCTCATCCAAATATGCTGATGAGAACATGAATTCTAACATTATAGCAAACCACATTGTTTCTACAAAGAGTATGCAACCAACAGTTTCAAGCGAAAACTTATTAAACAAGTGTGCTCCACCATTTTATACATCCAAGATTGTGAATGAGCCGACAAGTACTCTGTTGCCCGAAAATCTTAAGAGAACAAGATCCGGAAATGCAGCTCATCCCATGAGAATAAACATGAAGGAGTCTAAAGGGACAGTCATAGAACAAGAAAATATGGCGCGAAAGCAGTCAAATTCGAAGGAGAAAGTAGAGGATAGATGGGCAGAGTTGTTGCCGGATAGCAAGGATTTTGAGCAAGCGATAATTGCTGCTGCTTTGAATTCAAGTGATGAAATATTGAAGCCAGAAGAAGGAGGATGCAAAGATTCTGGAATTCTTCCAAGGAAAATTGACAAAAGATTGAAAGTTTTCCAAGATATTACCCTATCTTTGAGTCCAAGAGCCTAACACTATTGACTTTTTTAACTTTCTTTAATCTAATTTCTACTTTAAATTATTATCATAATTCATTCTGAGTTTGGAGAAAAACTTCTTCTCCTTTACTCCTGCATATCCTCAAGTAGGAGAATAGTATGCAGATTTCAAGAAATTTTCCAAATAAATACGTTCTCTTCTCTTTTAATGCTGAGTTTCTGTTTCATGAAGTGTAACTTGGCTCCCAAGTAGCAATGTAGAATGTGATATATTATCTGTCTTTTAAGGTTTTAAGTAAAAGAAAAGTAATAAATGATTTATTGTTTGTGTAATCAAATATTTTGAAACAAATGATGATGTCCATCTCATTGAAGAAGTATTAGGCATGTGCCTAATAAGAGTTTTCTTT